CAGTTAACTCAGTTGGTTAGACCAGTGTTATACCCCCAAGGTCAAAGGTTCGGAACCCTTTATGGGCCAGCTGCAAAAAAAAAAAAAAAAAAGAAAATACTCCCTGACATGTTGATTTACCAGTAATGGTATTCTTAGGCGATAAGTTCAGTTGTGGTTTCCCTGGGACTGTTCTCTTTTTCTTTGTTATCCTCTCCGTAGTGGCCAATAGTGTGCTGATATTAAATTCTCAAAACTCAGTTCGCATTTTCTCTTTTGCTGAACTTGCATGTCACCAATTTTCCTTTCTCAATAGAGCCTCTGAACCTTCCTGATTGGCTTTTTTTTTTCCCTCCAGGGGTTTATGTTTGCCTAATAAAGGTTCGACCACAGTCGGAGGAGCTGCTCCAGGCCCTCAGCGTGGCTGACACCTCAGTCTATGGTTGGGCCACACTGGTCAGTGAACGTAGCAAGAATGGAATGCAAAGAATCCTCATTCCTTTCATCCCAGCCTTTTACATTAACCAGTCAGAATTGGTTCTTAGCCACAAACAAGATATCGGGGAGATAAGAGTACTGGGAGTGGACAGAGTTCTTGAGAAGCTAGAGGTATGTTAAGGACTGAACCAAAACAGAGCAGATAGATATTTTAAAAAGATTTTTTATTCTCATTCCAAGGGTAAAGGAACTTACTGAGTGACCTCATAAAAATTACCATAGGAAATTCTTAAATCCAGTGAAGAAAACCTGACCCCTTCACAATGCCAGGAAGGCTCTGAGTCCAAAAGATAGGTCATGAGCTTTGTCAGTCTGGAAGATAACACCATCTTTAAAATACACCTTTAAACACATCTTTAAAACAATCTTTAGGGCTGGCCCGGTGGCACACTCAGTAGAGTGCGGCGCTTGGGAGCGCAGCGGCGCTCCCGAGGGTTCGGATCCCATATAGAGACCGGTCCTCTCAACTGGTTGAGAGCGGTACGGGCGCGACACCGAGGGTTGCGATCGTTGCCGGTCGCGGTATGGGCGCGACACTGAGGGTTGCAATCCCATTACCGGTCACGAAAAAAGACAAAAAGGAAAAAAAAAAAAAACAGTCTTTAGAATTCTGATTTTAAATGTTTTTGAAGTCTATTTTATTCTCACAGCTTATTTTCTTCCTTTATCCTTCAACATATCTAAGGGGGTGAAAAAGTAAATGACTTTTATAGTGTCAGCTGACTAGCTAGAAATCCAGATGACAATTCTTTATGCTGTTATGTTTGAGATTGGAACATATTGATACAAAACATTGATTTTTTCTCTTTCAAACAAGTGCTGTTTTATCTTTTCTCCCAGGTCTTCCCCAGCTCCCCAGTTCTAGTGGTCTCTGGCCATAGGCAATCTCCCCTCACGCCTGGCCTGGCCATCTACCCTGTAAGAGTAGTCAACTTCACTTCCTTCCAGCAGATGGCATCACCTGTTTTCATCAATATTTCCTGTGTGCTCACCAGTCAAAGTGAGGCTGTGGTAGTGAGAGCTATGAAGGATAAGTCTGATGCAGGTAAGCATTGTAGTCTCCTATTTTTAATCTAGAGGAGGAAAGAAGACAGAATGTATTATTCACAATTTAGTTAATGGGAAACATTTAGCCACTTGACCAAGATTAGTCAAACTAATTGAAACATTTTTATCTTCCCAGCCTACCCAAAATATAACATTTAGGTAGCTTTCTTAACACTAGCTAGATTTTATATTTACATATTGAACAATAGTTATGTCAGTTTAACATGAGTTTGTCAGCTTTGTAAATATACTATTTGCCCAATTTTAAACTTCTTGATAAATGTTTTCTTTGAAAGTTTTTCTTTTCACATCAGGCAATGGGCAAATGTTGGTAATCCTAGAACTTTGCTTTCCAAAATCTGATTCTAGACATTACCCAGTTTAGAAACACCAAGTTTGGATGGAATGGAAAATAGTTATTCTCCTTATATTGTATTTGTCACATCCACTTCCCCACCCCTCAAGAGAAAGAGTATTCTTAATTATTGGGAGTGAACTAGGCTGAACCCTTGTATATCTCCTAAAGGGTGAAAGGTTTTTTTCTTTTTCCTTGGTGTTATCAGCACTGCACTCTCCCGAGTGAGCCACGGGCCAGCCCTGAAAGGTTTTTGTTTTTGTGAAAACCTGGTATGTACTGATCAGTATCCCAAGTACATTTATATGCATTTTGTTATTGAGGTGCTCAAGGCCCCCACTAGAAACACTACTAGAATTCCAATCTGTTGGTCAACCTGTGCTATCTAAGAGCAGTTTTTGTTGTTTTTTTGGCAGCTAGGGATCTGAAGCCTTGACCTTGCAGTAATAACACCACACTTGAACCAAGTGAGCTAACCGGCCTGCCTGTAGAGCAGTTTTTTTTTTTTTTTTTTTTTAAAGATGACTGGTAAGGGGATCTTAACCCTTGACTTGGTGTTGTCAGCACCACGCTCAGCCAGTGAGCGAACCGGCCATCCCTATATGGGATCTGAACCCGGGGCCTTGGTGTTATCAGCACCGCACTCTCCCGAGTGAGCCACGGGCCGGCCCCTGTAGAGCAGTTTTTAAAGCTAGAGACCATGGGTCCTTGCAATGGTCCATTAGATGGAATTCATGCCCATGACCCTGAATGGGAAAAACATCTTTATTTTCAATTGACCTCTAAAGTTAGCATTTCCACTGATTAGGAATATAGGCAGTATGTGTGACTTTGACACCAAGAGAATCTACAGATATATTCATGTTCCGGTTGTCAGATCTCAAAATATTTCTCACTTCAGAATTACAGTAATCAAGGGCTGGCCAGTTAACTCAGTTGGTTAGAGCAATGCTGATAATACCAAGGTTTGGGGTTTGATCCCTGTACCAGCCAGCTTCCTAAAGAAAACAAAAACAAAAATTACGGTCATCAGACTGCACCTTGATCTTTTTTGTTGCTGTTAATAAAGCATACATATTACTGTATCGTAAATTAGATTTTTTGACATTTTGATAACCGTACAATATAACCATGTCACAAATTAGGTTTTTTCTATTTTGGTTAACTGTACTTCGATATAATCGGTTTCTTTTATTCCTACATATTTTATTTTATGCAGTATTTGTCTTCATTTGTACAGTGGTTAGGGTAAAATGAATAGAAGAAAACATTATTCTGATAGGATCCATAGGCTCTTCACCAGACTTGCCAGAAATACCCATGGCACAAAAATTGGTTAGGAACCTTTGTACTTCTTGGGAATAAGAGGGACCAGTGGGAACAGTGTTAACTGTGGTGGGTAGAAATGTTTAGATGCAAATATCCAAGCCAATCTTCAGCTCACTCACATAAGCACGTGAGGGACTACTGGTATATGCTAGGCTTTATACCTACTGCAGAAGAAATCAGATTTAAGACAGGGCCAGATTGGGAAGACAAGAGTCAATTCAGTATAGCCAGAACATACAAGTGTAAGCAATAATGCTAGAAAGGTTGATAATATACCTTTTAGGTTATATTTGGACTCTGATCCTATAGACACTGGAAAGCCAAGAGTTTTGAATGGTGGGACCTACATACCAGGCAGCTGCGCATCCCCCCAAAACAAACAAAAAGGGAGACTTTATCAGGGATTACTGTAGAGAATTTTTGTGTATGCACTTTAAGCAATCTCAAATTATTCTTCAGTTTGTAAACAGCATGAAGAATGACTGAGTATGGTGAAAGGTAAGACTAGTTAGAACGAGTCCAGAGGTAGAGTGCCTATACTAGTGATGCAGAATAGCAACTACATGAGGACCTGGTAACCAATTTATGTAGGAAGGCCTGAAATTCAGTTTGGTGGGGGTGGGGAGTTCATTACTAGACACTACAGAATTTGAAGTAACCAAATACAGATTCCAAGTGTGCTTCAAAAACACAAGTCTAAAGTTTTATCAAGGATAAGTATAGACACAAATCAGAGTACTAGTACTCCCTAAAGGATGGCTAGTTAGCTCAGTTGGTTAGACTGCAGTTTTATAATGCCAAGGTCAAGGTTTCCAATCCCTGTACCTGTCAGCTGCCAAAAAAAAAAAAAATCCCTAGAAATGACATCCTGAGTAGGACAAGGGTCCTCTGGATTTAACAGGTCACTGGTGACCTAAAGAAATGTTTCAGGTTAGATGAATAAGAACTATAAATTGGGCTTATCAGTTAGCTCAGTTGGTTAGAGGGTGGTGCCAGTAAGACCAAGGTCCAGGATTTGATCCCTGCACCAGCCAGCTGCCAGGAAAAGAAAAAAATTATAAATTGAATCAGCATAGACTGGTGAAGGGAAGCGTGTCACCTGAAGTTAAAGTGCATAGGAAAGGTAATAGGCATTTTCAGGTTGCAGAGGATTTAAAGCACCCTTTGTAATCTGAGAGAAGAAATAAAATGCTCAGGAATTGCAGAATTTTATTACTCTGGAGATATGAAGAAGCCAAAAAGTTGGAAGGGCCAAGTACAGATCAGTTTTGAGTGCTTCCGGTAGACACTCTTTTGACCACATATGATTTTTAAAAACAGTTTGATGTATTATTAAACAAATATTATCTTGTTTTGTTATGGCCAACACACAGATCAATGCAAAGATTCAGGTGTCCTCAAGAGATTCATTGGTTCTTACCAGATCCTCCTCTTTACCCTCTTTGTGGTGTTGGCATCAACAGCTTTTATCTTTCTAGGTAAGGAGTTCTTTTATTCAGCATCATGGACTTTGACTTGGAAACTGGTTTCAATTTATTTCACAAACTAAATAAGGATGAAAATTAGTGTTTATCACATCTAATTCGTGACAAGCAGTTGAAACTGAGTTAGCCTCCCTAGCCTTAGTCACCTGGTGGATTAAAGGTCCTTGTCAATGTACTGCTACCAAGAAGCAATAAACTGGGTGTGGCAAACTATGAAACACCACTTAGAAATCTCATTTTAGAGTTGACTTTCCCTTCCTCCAACATAAATCCGATGTGCCTTTTTGTGACATCTCTCGTCTTTTTTCCAGCATACAATGCTTTCCTAAACAAAATACAGACTGTTCCAGTTGTTTATGCACCAGCTCTGGGAACACCACAGCCAGGTAAAGAACCACTGTCCTCTTTGAAAACAGTGTTTAACTCACTCAGCTCTTCATCATCTCCCTTCCCCGTTTACTTCTAGGTTCTTATACCTCCACGTGTTCTCCTCCCTTCATGAATTCACAACCCACACTGGCTCAGAGTCGGCTACAACATTGGTTATGGAGTATAAGGCACTGACCTACGTTTGGATGATAAATCTCCTTTAACTGTAAGGGAATGGAGACTTCTAGCCCTGGGCAAAGAGCCTGAGCCTAGCAGCAACCTCTACAACTAAGCCTCCAAACAAGGCTTCTGAGCATTTTAAATAAAGGATTTTTTTTTTTTTAAATTAAAGTGGTGTGTTGGATTATGTTGGAAAGATTAACTGTCAGTTCTTAATTCTAAGAAAAAAGTTTAAAAAATCCCATTTATATAGCATCTCAGGTTTTTTAAAATCAAGCTCAAGATTTACCCAACAAACCTATGTGGATAAAAATGCCCCAAATAGACTTTTAAGTACGTGACCACTTACTTGCCCCAAGTGATTCTAGTATTCCACTCTTCTGGTTCCCCCTGAATACTTCTAGCAGTTAAACAAGACAATAAACAGGATATATCCAAAATGTGTTTATTGGGAGGGTTTTCCACTCATCTTGATTCAGGGTGCTTTTAGTGCTGCTTCCTCCTGAAGGAACATCCTGGGAAAAAAGGTTCAGAGGTTAGTGGACACGAGCCTACCTACTCTGCCCATCCCCACAAAATATGCAGGTCCCTGGTGATCAACCCAGAAAAAGCTCCATTTTTATTTTTCTCAACTTTTTTAACTACCACCTAGTCATCTATATCACTTTGGTCAATTCATTAGCAGCTTGAGGGCTGGCTAATTACTCAGTTGGTTACAGTGTGGTATTATAACACCAAGGTCAGGGGTTTGAATTCTTATACTGGCCAGCTGCCAAAAAGAAAAAAAAAAAGGCAAAGACATTAGCAGCTTGAGTCCTTATGAAGCCCTTTTGTTACCTGTCCATCCCAGCTTTAGACAGTAGTGCTTTGAGATTAACACATGGTTTCCAATACTTAAAAACAAACACACACACTACAGAATACAACCCTCTTTACAAGACAATCTACAAACTTACATTATACATGATCCCTCTCACCATAAGATTCAAAGCCCGAAATTCACAATATTTACCTTCTGTAAGCCTTGCTTTTCCTCCTGTAGGCTGGCAGAGGACAGTGGAGCAGCCAACGCACAAAACTACCGTTTGTGCATGGCTAAAGACCGTGGTGATTTTATAGCATCCTGAGGAAAACACCAAGCAAAGAGCTTACATTTTTTCCAATATTACCCCCATACCTTTCCTACACTTAAGCCCAAATGATCATCCCATTACAGTGTTTCCTACCATGAAGAAACAGGATTTGTATGCGAAATTTTGATGGGAGAGCATTCTGAATTTCATCACTACCCCTAAATTACAAAATTGTATCATCTTGTACATTCGAATTGTAAGAAAACCAGGAACCGTATTCTCTCCGTTTTACAGTCTAAGAAACTGAAACTGCTGGGCTGCTTCAAGGACATGGCACAGCTCATGCTACATTTTCCAAGTGTTGAGGTCCAGTGCTTTCCCCACTAGAGCAAGCCATGTACCCACCTGGGCATTTCACATCCATGAAATAGGAATTGGGACTCTGCACCAGGCGCTTCTTCTTGTGTTTCCTCTTCTCCTCTTCTGGAGAGGGATGCAGGAGATCCTTTGCGAGCTAAGAGGGGCAGAAATGCAGAGATTTAGAAACCAACGGCGAAAATGGGACGATCGAAAACAGCCCTCACTGTCACACACCGGGGAGAGCTCGCCCCTCGCCGCCCCTGGTGTCTGCGCAGCTGGGCCGCCATCTTATCTCCTCTCCGCTCCCGTCTATGCGGGTGGCCCGTGGGCCGCTGCGGTCCCTGGAGTTTATGTCCTAAGAAGTGAGGAGGGCAAGTGAGGACCCTTTACGATCCGAAATCAGCGTGAGGGGAGCGTGCGGACAGAAGAGTGAGATCTCCGCCGAAACCTGGACCAAGGAACTCACAGGCATGTTCTCGTGGGTAGGTCTTCACCGCCGGAAAGGAGCGAGGGTGGAAATCCTGCTGCTTATATCCGGCATCTTGCAGGAAGTGACGTCAGGGTCTTCCGCCGCCATATTGGGAAGGTCCTGTTCTCTGTCCTCATCTGCCCTGAACGCGAAGGGGTCTGCCATCTTAGGAAGGTCTTTAAATGATACTTATGACATTTGTCGCCATGTTGAGAGAATTAGCGTGCTCTCTTGAGGTCAGCGTATTTGGTCACTATTGAGGGATAAATGGACACTTTTAAAATTTCATGCTACATTTTGACAGTTGGAACTTAATATATAGGAACGGCTGAGGAAAAAACCCAGCGAGATAGAGATGTATCCGGCACTTCTTTAATATTTTTCAATTATCCATAGTCTTTACTATTTTTCAGTTGGTTTAATTTACCCATGTTTAACAATTAAGGATGTAAATATAAAAAAGTTTTCCACGTTTCTACCACCCCCAAGCTATTCCTAGTGATTACCCTTGTTAAATTTTGTCTCCTAAACCTTTCCTTCCAAGCAATAATTATAATAATTAAATCAAACACATATACAGTGCTTACTATGTGCATTGTTCTGACTGCTTTGCATATGTTAATTAATCTTTAAACAACTCTATGAGGTTGATACTATTATCCACATTTTACAGATTATGATATTGATGCCCAGAAAGTTGTCCAAGGTTAACAGAATATGTATCTGCAGCTATGTACATCTTTACAGATCTAAGTGTATATATATGTGTATATTTGTATATATATACCCACACATATACTTAAAGGTGCAAAAGTGATAACATAAAGATACATAGATAGAGATATAGATTTTTTTTTTGCACCTGTGTGACTACATTGTAGGAAAATCCCCCAAAATGGAGTTGTTAGATCAAGGGTATCTACATTGAGAGTTACCAAATTGTTTGCCAAAAAGGTTGTGCCAATTCCCACATTCTTTTCCCCACATTTTCACCAACACTGCCTTTCCAAGATTTATAGTCTTGGCAGCATTAACACCCTTGCAGGGAATGAGAAGAAAGGAAGGATGAGTACCAAAGTATCATCTAATGACTAAAGGTGTAGAATATCCATGTCATAAAGGAAGAATAAAGACGATCCAAATGCCATCTGGGGGCCTGGTTAATTCCAAAAGAAAGGAATGAGGTAAGGCATGTGAGTTCTAGTCAGGGGTGTGCTGATAAAGGTTTAACAATCAGCTCTCTGGAAAAAAAAACCCTGATTTCTAGTCTTCGTTAATTTCAGTGATATAAATATTTTCACCGTGGCTGATTTCAAACTACCAAAGTGACATCATTGAACATGGAGCTGGTAAGAGATGTGCACAATCTATTTTCAATAATTGGTAAGAAGTGGTTCCAGCACACTACTGGTGGTCCAGAAAAACCTCTGAGGAAGTGATATGTAGGCTGAAATCTGAAACACAAGAAGCCAACCATGCAAAGATCAGAGGGAAGAACATTCTAGACTGAAGGAAGAGTTTGTGAATGCAAAACCCAAGGCCAGAATGAGCCTGACTAGCCGACCCCGTGGCACACTTGGGAGAGTGCGGCGCTTGGGTGTGCAGCGACGCTCCCGCCGCGGGTTCGGACCCTATATGGGGATGGCCGGTGTGCTCACTGGCTGAGGGCAGTGCGGGCGACACCAAGCCAAGGGTTATGATCCCCTTACCGGTCACAAAAAAAAACCAAAAAAAAGACACACACACAGAATGAGCCTGACTTAATTGAAGGGGTAAAAGGCATTGTTGCTGAGGCTTTGAGAGCTAAGGGGAGGGTACTATAAGATGAATTTCCAGTGAAAGCAGGTGTACACCAGCATAAGTACAGTCCAGAGAGGTAAGCAAGAATAACATTTTGCTGGGGACAAAAAGTCCAGGTCCAGGCAAAATAAAAGAAAAAGAACTGATGGACTTTTTTTTTTCCTTTTTTTTTTTTTGTCTTTTTTCGTGACCGGTAACGAGATCGCAACCCTCGGTGTCGCGCCCGTACCGGGACTGGCAATGGGATCACAACCCTCGGTGTTGCACCCGCACCGCGCTCAACCAGTGAGCGAGAACCGGTCTCTATATGGGATCTGAACCCTCAGCGGGAGCGCCACCGCGCTCCCCAGCGCCGCACTTTACCGAGTGCGCCACCGGGCCGGCCCAGAACTGATGGATTTTTATCAAACAATCCACGAAAATTGAAGAGTAATTTAGGGAGTTGGCCAGTTAGCTCACTTGGTTAAAGTGCATTGTTGATAACACCAAGGGACCAAGGTCAAGGGTTTGGATCCCCTTCCCAGCCAGCTGCCCCCACAAAAAGAAGAGTAATTTATTCCTTCCTTTTTTTGTTGTTGTTTTGTTTTGTTTTGTTTTGGCAGCTGGCCTGTCAAGGGATCTGAACCCAAGACTTTGGTGTTATAAGGCTGCACTCTAACCGAGCTAACTGGCCAGTAAGAAGAGTAATTCAGAGGAAAGATGAGACATTGTTTGCTCAATGAGGGGAAATGGTTTGCGAAGACTCAAGGTTTGCGAAGTTTCTGATACACTTGAAGATACAATGAGAGGTAAGAGAATGGACAAAAGGGGACTAAATAGTTGTGTTTGAGAAAGGACAAACATGGGGCTGGCCCGTGGCTCACTCGGGTGAGTGCAGTGCTGATAACACCAAGGCCACGGGTTCGGATCCTATATAGGCATGGCCAGTTGGCTCACTAGCTGAGTGTGGTGTTGACAACACCAAGCCAAGGGTTGAGATCCCCTTACCCGTCATCTTTTTTTTTTTTTTTTTGTCTTTTTCGTGACCAGGAAGGGGATAGCAACCCTTGGTGTGGTGTCGCCCGCACCACGCTCAGCCAGTGAGCGCACTGACCATTCCCATATAGGATCCGAACCCGCGGCGGGAGCGTCGCTGCGCTCCCAGCGCCGCACTCTCCCGAGTGTGCCACGGGCTCGGCCCCCTTACCGGTCATCTTTAAAAAAAAAAAAAAGAGAGAGAGAGAAAGGACAAACATGGACACAGAAAGTAACAAAAATGAATGAAGTGACAAAAGATGTCGTCTCACAGCCAGTGTACATCTTAATACAAGGACAATTCTACTGACCCACTGTTAGAAAAGCAGATATTTTGAATAATTTTTTCCAAAGCAAAGATAAACTTATTTCTTTATAGCCATTCTCTCCATACTTCAGCTTCCTGGTTGCCAAAGCTACCAGACCATTCAGTGAGGTGTCAGGAGTACTGCCCCATACAGGGCCATGTTAAAAGATCCACATGAAGAATGATGTTTTTAGTCCCAATCTCTGTGTTCCTGAGCCATCTGGTTAGAAAAGTCACACACACTGTTGCGGAAGGAAGACTTCAAACTGAAGCCCCAGAATACATCTAGATGGGCTCTGTGTGTGTGTTTGTGTGTGCGTGTTGCAGTGAGGTGGGGCTGATTTAGTATTATAATTAATTTTAATTTTCACTGTGTTCCACCAGGTGGCAGATGGACTCAGCAAATAACCTACTTCTGGGCATCCTGCTTTTTTCAAAGGGTATTGGGATTCATAGAACTAAGGTCTTGGAACACTAACACTAGAATTCTAGAATTGCCTTTTGCTCAGCCCCAAGAAAGCTTTTAGCTTCCATGAATAGCTCCTCCAAAAATCAATCCCAATTTTTGTCAACTTCCGGGGCCATCCCCACCTTCACCCTCATTCCCAAAACTCTTTTCTCTTCCCCTGATCCCTCTAAATTTCTCTTCTTCAGGTTGTCTCGGTTAAACCTCTACTTCCCTTCACTCCAGCCTCTCCGGCCTCAGAATGGAAGAATGAGGTCAGAAGAGAGGAACGACAGCAGAAGGCTGTGGGAAACAGCAAGGGAGAAGGCCCCTCTAGACCGGGAAGGGAAAGCCAGAACAGAAGGCTGGGCTGGCCTCCTGGGGCTGCCGAAAGGGCGGATGGAAAGGGGGTGGAGCCCAGAGGAGTGCCGCCTCTCCTCTTTCCCAGAGCCTGGCAGTGAGGAACGAAAACTTCCTGGCCTGGGATCCGGGCCGCTCTGTCTCCCAACCCGCCAATCCCGCCTACTAGTGCCTGGCGCTTCCCCACACCTCCCCCGCTACCCCAGTGTCCGCCATGGCCAAAGCCTACGACCACCTCTTCAAGTTGCTGCTGATCGGGGACTCGGGGGTGGGCAAGACTTGTCTGATCATTCGCTTTGCAGAGGACAACTTCAACAATACTTACATCTCCACCATCGGTGAGCCCACTGGTCATATCCCGGACCCCCAACTCCCCATGCCCTCATCCTCAGGTTCTTGGATTACCTGTGATCCTGCCTTTTGGTTCCCTCACACTAAGGCTCCTAAACTCCAGTCCATTAACCCCTGTCTCAGACTCATCTCCCATACATGTCTCTGTATGGTACCCAAACCTCTAACCTTTCTGAGGCTTCCAGGTAATTCTTCAGTTGCTTCTAGCCCCCCATTTTCTTGGTATCATCTCCCTAGTCTCCCCAACTCCACATGAACCTTTCTGTTTCCCTCTCAGCTTCTCTTCCCTGACCCCAATCCACCTAGAACTCTTTTGATCACATTTCCTATATCCCTCTACCCCAAACATCTGTCTCCCAATATTGCTAGCCTCTTTCTGTCCCACTGAGCTTCAAACTCTCCCATTGGATCCCCACCTTACCACCTACTTCCCAGTCTCCCTGTCCCTCAACATAATAGGGGGCTGGGAAATAATTTTTTAAAAAAATAGTGGGTTAGGGAGGATAGAACAGGGGGCTGGCTGTGCCAGAGGGCAGCCCAAGGACTGTGATCATGAATTTGCAGCCAGTCTGGTGAGGAAGGTGGGAATGAGGGGACTTTTGGGGTCTCTGAGTCAGCTTGGTGACTCATCCTCCTCCCTCTGGCCCCCAGCACGCTTGGGGGAGTTGCCCAAGTTTCTGCTAAGAGGAACACTGTCTCCCCTCCTCCCGTCTCATCTTTCTTCATCTCCTCTGGCCTGGGAAATAAGAGGGTTCTAAGAAAATATGGCAAGAGGAATGTGAAAGTAATATTTTGGGGGAGACAGACTGAATTAAAAGAGTTGCCAGCTGGCATGGCTGAGTGGACTCAAGAGGTGGCTTAAGGGCCTTAAGCCCCCCTGCAAAGTTATCACCTTCTCTCCCCCCAAATCCATAAAATCTAAGTAAAGACAATGTGCTTTGTATACAAACATGGCTTTGGGAAAATTCTAGTTCTATACTGTCAAGATTGCCCTCCAAGTTTCTCTGCTGCAAAATTTCTGGTGCTGTCACTGTTCCATTGTCTCTTCCACCACATATTTTTACATGCACACACATACACATCTCAACTTCAGTTGCAACTTCCACCCACAGGAATTGATTTCAAGATCCGCACTGTGGATATAGAAGGGAAGAAGATCAAACTACAAGTCTGGTGAGTGAATCCTATAGAATGCCTAACCAGACTTCCCCACTTACCTCCTACAATCCTTTTTCTTCTATTTTGCTTCATTTGTCTCCCTTTCCCTGTTGCTCCTTCCAGCACTTCTCCTAATCCATTTCTCTCGCCTCACTCTGCTGTCATCCCATCTCTCTTCCTGCTCTCCCAACTATTTTCAGCTTTTTTGTAACTCTTGCCTCCCCCAGCTCCAAACCATTCTCTGAACTTGACAATACGTGTCTGTTGAGATATAATGTGCAAACAGACTCTAAGCAATGAAATGGCAAGTAACAGAATTAAGACTTGATTCCAAGTCTAGTTCTCTCTTTAAATCACGGAGAGCCCAGAAAGCCAGGTATAGAAGTTTGACCTGACTGTCATAAGGAAGCTGGAGACCCTAAAGGTGTGGTATAAGGCTTAGGAGACATTATGATACAACAAATAAGAGCAGACTGGTGTTCAAATCCTGGCTCTGTTACTTACCTGTCACCTGACTTTCATTATTATTATTTATTTTTTTATTGTTGGCTGCTGGCTGGTAACAGAGATCAAACCCAGGACGTTCGTCTTATCAACACCACACTGTAACCAACTGAGCTAACCAGCTAGCCCCTGACCATCATTATTCGTTCAGCCTATCCAAATCTGTTTTCTCATTTGTAAAATGGGTACAATAAAACATGTCTCACAAGGGTAGACTTGAGGATTAGATAAAATGATACTTACACAGTGCTTGGCACAGCATAAGCATTCGATAAATAAACAAGAGACATCTTGTTTCTTGGTCCTCTGCCAATATCAACTGTCTTTCATTCCTTTCCCCTTTACTGTTTCCTGATTCTGTTCTTTCAGCCCCACCATGTTGCAAAAGCTAAATTCTTAGGAGGGGAATTCTCCCCTTGGAGAGCTCTTCCTTCTGTTCCACCTCATGAAACCTTCTACTTCTTCAGGGATACAGCTGGCCAAGAGCGATTCAAGACGATAACTACTGCCTATTACCGTGGAGCCATGGTACAAGTGTGGGTCTGGACAAGGGATGAGGGCACGAGGCAATAGAATATAGTTTTATGAGTACAAAAGGTCAGGGGTTAGGGCAGGGGAAAATGTGGGGCACAGTGTGAGTTACAGAGGGCCTCACATGGCCTAGCATCTAGATCCATGGATGGGACTTGCAGGGTCACTTAGAGGGCAGTGGGAAGTCTAAACAGGAATATGGTCCAAAGTGAACTTTGCCATCCCCCAGGGCATTATACTAGTATACGACATCACAGATGAGAAATCCTTTGAGAATATTCAGAACTGGATGAAAAGCATCAAAGAGGTGAGGACCCTACAAAAGAGATGGGGGAACTGGGTAAAACCTGGAGGATGAAGGGAGCCGTGAGGATATGCAGGACCCAACTTTTACTTGTCTTACCCTATTGCCCCCAGAATGCCTCAGCTGGGGTGGAGCGCCTCTTGCTGGGGAACAAGTGTGACATGGAGGCCAAGAGGAAGGTGCAGAAGGAGCAGGCTGATAAGGTGAGGGCCAGGCTGGGCAATGTTCTAGAATTGGTCGGGGAGGGCCAAGATGAGGTCAGATCACAGAGGACATGGCTGCTGCTCTCTATCCAACTCTCCTTCCCACTTCACTCCCCTATAGTTGGCTCGAGAGCATGGAATTCGATTTTTCGAGACAAGTGCCAAATCCAGTATGAATGTGGATGAGGTGAGATACCCCCTGCTTCCAGAGATAAGAGTATCGGAAGATAGATTTATCCTCCCCTCCAATCTGTTCTGAAAAATCTCCGCTTTTTCCTCCCTAGGCTTTCAGTTCCCTGGCCCGGGATATCTTACTCAAGTCAGGAGGCCGGAGATCCGTGAGTTGGTTCTTGCTGGGCTAGGTACAAGTGTGTGTGTGTGTGTGTCTTGCTGGGCTAGGGGTGTGTGTGTGTTTGTGTGTGTGTTGGGGGTAAAAACTGAAGAGGGGAGCAATGCTAAGATTTTCCAAGAGGGTGGATTGACTTCAGTTTATAGGCTTATACCGCAGCCAGCCATTTACACTCCGACCCCTGTGTCCTTCTCCCTCTAGGGAAATGGCAACAAGCCCCCCAGCACTGACCTGAAAACTTGTGACAAGAAGAACACCAACAAGTGTTCCCTGGGCTGAGGATCTTCTCTTGCCTCCCTACCCTAAGTGTGAAGGCTGAACCTGAGGGAGGCAGGGTGAGGGGCTGGGCAGGGGAGAAATAGCAGTGGGGCATGAAGGGATAGATGGGTAGATGGCAAGAAGAATGAGTATGAAAGGGAGGGAAAAAAAGGAAAGAGAAAGGAAAAGAAAGAAAGGAGAGGCGAAGGGAGGGGGAAAGAATTGAGGAAGTGAAAGAAGGTGAGGAAGTAGGAAGAGAGGGAGGAGGAAAGGAAGGATAGATGGCCTCAGGCCTCAGACCTTCCCAGGGTTTTCAGGGCAAATATAAATGTAAATACATTGTTCCGAGATCAGGTTTTAGGGTCCTGTGAGAGGCTGGCTCAGCACCACTCTCTCAAGGTCTGGTCCTATCCTGTCACTCTACATGGTCTTTCTCAATATTAAAGGCCACCATTTGCACAAATGACCCTGGTTTGGGTAACTTTCATTATTGTCTACAAAGATCTGAACCCTTGCCCTTGGTGTTACAAGGTGGTGCTATAACCAACTGAGATAGTTGGCCAGCTCTTTAATGTCAAAACTGCTTTCTACTTACCCATTTCTTGCTTCTCCAAAGTGGTTGGTCTGCCTGAATCTGGCTGGGTTCCTGTGGCACCAGGACTAGTCCTACCCTATCCCTTTCCTAGTATTTATTTATTTATTTTTTTGGTGGCTGGCTGGTACGGGGATCCAAACCCTTGACCTTGGTGTTATAACACTGCACTCTAACCAAATGAGCTAACTGGCCATCCCTCAGCTGATTAATTGGCAAGGAAAATTGTAAGGAGCAGGAGGAGTGGCCTGAAGGTTTGGACATCCTCTTTCCACTGTGTGGTCCAGAAGACCCCTGTGGATAGAGCCTTCTTCCAAGCACAGGAAATTTCAAGAGAGAAGGACTCTAATAGTCCTAGCCTCAAGGAAATAGCAGGACCTAGTATTGTTTATCCAGTGATTTGTGCAAGCTTGATTCTACCAGCAATTTGTTTAGGTATTTGGTAGGCATCATTATCTGCATTTATAGATGAGGAAAATGAGATACAAGAGAGACTCGTTTATTCATAAATATTTATTGAGCAACTACTATGTGCCAGGCACGGTGGTCACTTAACACAGTCTTTGGGTAGTACTCACAAGCAGAGGAACAAGCAAATTTTAACCAAAAACGGCTCTTGACTACTGAATAACAAAGATGGCAAAACTATTGGCATGCAAAAGAACCACCACCACAAAATTCAGGCTTGATACAAAGCTCCCTTAAATATATATAAACCCTTACACATATTTTTTTTTCTGGTTATAGCAGCAATAGGATGTACACAATATTTTTAAACACAAAATTATCTCATGGACTTGATCTTTTATCAGGATCAATGAAAATGTCAGATTTTTTTGACATTTTAGAGTGTGTTAAAAAAAAAAGAAAGAAATGTCAAATTTGGTTTAGACAAGTATTCCATTACAAGTTTTATTCCTGGATACAGTGTTCAAGGCAATTAAGAAATCCCCAACTCCTCAATGTAAAAGTGGGTGGTACCACCCTGGAGTCAGCAGCAAAGTCTTTTTGTGCTGCTGTTTCTGTTGGTAAATGACAACACTAAGAAAAAAAGTCTGACAGTGCTGGAAGAAATAATAATTTGATAAATGTATTAAGTATCCAAGCTTGGATGAGGTAGTGATAAGCCTCATTTGTGGCTTATGTTTGAGCTCCATAGTCAACTGCCCAGCTGGCCGAATTTGTTCAAGAAATGAGGCAAGATTTGCACTTTGTGACTCCCAGGAAGGGGACTGATTGACATCATCATACCCCAGAACAAATATTTATTTTATTTTATTTATTTATTTTTAAAGATCTCAATTGGCTTTATTGTAATTCTAGAATGGGGCAAAACATCATTCCATAAAATAGAAATGTTCCCCAGAACAGATATTTTAAAATCCAGTTTCAGGGTAGAGATCCCACTTAGTTGCTGGCTAAGGTTATTGAAAGTGAAATCTGGGCCGGCCTGTGGCTCACTCGGGAGAGTGCGGTGCTGATAACACCAAGGCCACGGTCTAGGGTTAAGATCCCCTTACCGGTCATCTTTAAAAAAAAAAAAAGTGAAATCTTACAGCTCTCACAGTTTGTCATGAGGTAGGAGAATTTAGTAAGGAGTAACAAATACTAGCAGATTTCTGCTAAAACTTTAATTATAGCTAACTAAAAACTACTGGGAAAAACCCACAACCTACTTTCTGTAACATACAACTATTTACATACACAAATAACAACTTAAAGGAACAAATAACTAGTCAAAAGCCCTTATCACGTTTTTTTTTTTTTTTTTTTCTAATTCCCATTCAATTGTCTTTCCACAGTCTGATAGTTTCCGTTCTTGAGAAACAAGGTTTAAGTCTGATGGGAAGACACAGAATTTATGGGATATACCACCAGATAAACTGTTAATACTAAAATTAAGTGCTCTAGACCTTAGGGCTGTGGGGAAGAATAGTAGCAATGGTATTTAAGCTAGAAAGATGTTTTCGGAGAGGAGAATGTGGAACAGTTAAGAAAAAAATATGGACATGAGCCCTTTGGTCTTGAGAGGTGGGGTCCAGATTATTTTATCAGCACCTGTATTTATATGAAGTTTGAATACCTCCTTGTCTATTGAGCATCTAAGAAAACTAAACTCACATGGCCTGGAAGGGCTACAGACACACTATATGTGAAACTTGGAGGCAAATTAGGGCAAAATTAGGATAGTGACTAATACATTACCAGACAGTAAAGTATGAACCCAGAGTGTGGGTCAAGTCACAGCAGTTCTAAGTATGTATCAGGGTTGAACTACACGGGATGGAAAACAGGCTCAAATCTTTGACCCAAAAGTTTAAGGTCTGAGCTCAAGCCTCAGCTCTTGCACTCACTAGCTTCATGACCTGGGACAAGTCACTTATACTCTGTAAGTGACTCCTCAGGATTCCTCAGGAGGATCAAAATAAGCTAAATGTTGGATTCAAAAAAAAAAAAAAAGTGAGCCAACATTACTGAGATTAAAAGTATTTTCATACACATTTCATTTGCATCTCACAAAAAAATATTAGAAATAGACATTAGCATTTGCATTTTACACAGAACAATGGCAGTCAGACACCGACCTAAGGTCATGTAGCTAATAAAAATCTGAACCTAGACTCAGCATTTCTTGGAACTCGAATCTCGTGCTCTTCTCATTGCAGTAATGATTATTCCGTTATGTAGGAGCAAGGGAGAGCTGAGAACACGTGAAAAGGTTATCCAAAGGAACAGCTCTGCGGAGTAGTTTAACAATATGAGGGGAGGTGACATGCTCCATCTGTGGAGCGGTGTGGGAGCCCAGAAACAGGAGAAAGTTTCACGTTCACCGTTTGTCTCGGATATTGCCGCTTTGCAGGGAGGACAAAGTGCAGTTTCGCCTCCATGTCTTGTCCTCCAACCGAGCTTCTCCACTGGTCCATCGGGGGTGGGAGGGTGGAATGGGGAAGCGAGTCAGAGAGGCTGAAGCTTAATGGAGGGGCCCATTGGGGTTTTAAGGTGGGAACAAAGTCCTGGGAGGGTGACGTACGGTTCCTTTGTACGCCTTCCTGCTTACCTAGCCCAGAATGGCTAAACAAGCGTCAGCCCAGGGAGCAGTGAACCGAGAACCCAGGCAAGCCTCGGGCACCGCCATTTCCTCCGTTCCCGTAAAGACTACCGGGACCACAATGCAACAGGGCGCCGAGCCAATTCCCATTGAGCCGCGGGCTGGGCGCCACAGGTCCGAAAGACTACAAGTCCCAGCGGGCGATGCTTCGCGCGCCCCCGCCCCCGCCCCCGCCGACCGGCCGCGCCCCAGGATCCTCCGCGGGACGAGATGGCCGCGCCGGGGGTGGAGGCCGAGGTGTTCGGGTACTAGGCCGGTATGCCCCACTGGCTCTTCCTCCAGGACCTGGCGGGCTCCGCAGAAGCACCTTGCTTTCCTGTCCAGCAAATGCATATAAGCTTTTCTCGCTGTGGCCACAGGCACGTCCATAGAGACTTTCACCTGACAGGCAATCCTGGCGTCTCTCAGCCCTGACCTGGAACCTCTGGGAGGCACGAGGCCGGTAGAGCAAGTCTCTCTGTTCCGACAGGTGCGACACTGAACGCTCCATGTTTGCGGGCGCGGGGAGGCTTGGCCTCCCCCAGAGCCGCCGCCTGTGCTGGGTACTCTGCGCTTTCCTGAACGCTCCATGTTTGCGGGCGCGGGGAGGCTTGGCCTCCCCCAGAGCCGCCGCCTGTGCTGGTTACTCTGCGCTTTCACCTTAAAGCTCTGGTAAGGAGAACAGACAGGATCAGATCGTCCCCGCCCCCGAGGATGGGGGAGGGCTTGTCCATCGATAGCCGAGGTGGGGTTGCCCTGTTTTCTGGATTCTGACTTTTGCCCTTCCCCTCTAACCCCCTCACCCCCTGCAGCCAAGCAGAGGTTCCCGTGCGGGAAGAGAAGCTGTCAGGTGGGTGATTGGGAACGCGACACTCCCATTTTTTTTGTTTGTTCTTAATATCTTCCCCATATACCAAGAGCACACGTGGGAAAGGGCGGCACCACATGGAATGAGGGCAAGTTCTGTGTTGGGAAGTCGGATGGGCAGAGCCTTTGGGAGAAATGTTTGCTGAATGGTTTAGGGCAAGCATTTCTTTCCTATTTTAGTGAGCACCTCAAATTTGCCCTGCTGGCTGGTGGAAGAGTTTGTGGTGGCAGAAGAGTGCGCTCCATGTTCTAATTTCCAGGCTGTGAGTATGTTTTCTCTCCCTTTCTTCTCACATCTAACTAGTCCCAACGTCTTATTGTGCCTTTGCATTGTCTTTTCTTCTTTTTCCTTGCAGCCTCCCTGTACGTCCTAATTTGAACTTGTCTTCTCCTGAAAACATGCCCCTTTCTTTCCATGTTAATGGCAATATTCAGCTGATAACAATGTTTTGTTCATTTTTAACACAGTAGGTTCTGGAATCGTCCTCATCTCTCCTAGACTATTGCCTGTGAAGTGTTCTTTCTTTCTTTCTTTTTTTTTTTTTTTTAAGATGACCGGTAAGGGGATCTTAACCCTTGACTTGGTGTTGTCAGCACCACGCTCACCCAGTGAGTGAACTGGCCATCCCTATATGGGATCCGAACCCGGGGCCTTGGTGTTATCAGCACCACACTCTCCCGAGTGAGCCACAGGCCAGCCCGAAGTGTTCTTTTTTAACACATACTCCTAATCATGGAACCACCACCACCACCACCATCTGCATCAGAATTCATCAGCTTTCTATTGCCTGCCAGCTCGGAGTCATAGTAGTTGGGCATAACAGTTATCCCTGGGAATAACCATTCCTTCCTGCCCCCTTCTGAATGGCAGCCTTCCTGTTTCTCCTGCTGCCCGTTCTTAGCATGCGCTTTGGTCCTTTTCTCCCGGCAGAAAACCACTCCTGAGTGTAGTTCCACAGGGTATGTGGAGAAAATTACATGTAGCTCATCTAAAAGGAATGATTTCAAAAGGTAAGTGCTGTTTCTCTTCTTCAGGGTCACCTCCTTTGCTCCTGTAACTAGGTAGATGTTCCCGTCTCTTCCTCCTGGTCTGGGATTAGCATGTCATACTGGGAAGAGGTGAGGATTTGGAGCTAAGTTACTCGAACCTAAGTCCCAGCTCTACTCCTCAGCACTATGTTATTGGCCATATTTTCTCATCAGTAAAATTGGTTAATACTAGCTCTTCTATCTCATCAAAGAATAAATTAAATGATACATTTGGGAGGGATTTATGCACTGTAAACACATTAGAAAGCTGACTCTAGTCTCCTTTTTCCCTTTTGGATATATCTTAGTTAGGCAGAAGTAGAAGGGAGATTAGGGGGAGAATCTGTCTGGCCTTCCCTGGGAATAACTTTCATTCTGCCCTCAGCTGCCGCTCAGCTCTGATGGAACAATATTTATTCTGGAAATTTGAAGGGGCTGTTGTGGGTGTGGCCTTGATCTTCGCTTGCCTTGTCATCATCCGCCAGCGACAACTGGACAGAAAGGCTCTGGAAAAAGTCCGGAAGCAAATCGAGTCAATATAGCTGCCCTTTTATCCTGAGTCTTTGAGACCCTATCAGACAGAGAAAGTGGAAGGGACTGATTTGCACCCTTGTTCTTTGGAGCCTTGTGGTGGTACCCCCTTTCCTTTATGTTCCTCTTCCAGATCACTAATGAGCAGAATAAAAAGAGTGAAATAGTTTCCTTCCCTACTGTAATTTGGTTTGGGGCAGAGAGGGAAAGGGGATGGCAACTTTAGGCCCCTACCTACCAAGTACCTGGCTTCCCCTTCTACTACTTAAAACTTCTGGGATACAATGTCAGCTAAAAAGTTTATTTCTCAGTCAAAACTTGTTTTCCCTCAACCCTATGCCTAAAGAAGAAATAAAATCACAGATACATAACCAAAGTATTTGAGGTGCCTTCTCACGTAGTGAGCCTGGGCCTCAGGTTACAGACATCTCCTAGGGTATCCTGAAGTGATTTAGACCTTGAGGGCAGAGACACCTGAGTGGAAATCCCAGGGGGAAGCAGAGCCTTAGAGGACCCCTGGATTCCTTATTGTGATTGGGAAGAAGGCCAGGAAGGTCTCTGTTCCAGCTCACATCTCATCTGCATGCAGCAGAGTTCTGATGTGTCCACTGGGTCCTGTCTTCCCTTCCATCTTCTCAGGCAGTGTCCTTGTTGAGCCATTTGCATCCTTGGCTCCAGGCAGCTCCCCCAGTCTGGACTCTACCATTGGGGTCTCCAGATTTTCTGTCATGTCCTCGTGGGTCAGGATATTTCTAGAAATCACTGAGATGAAAGAAAAAGGGCAGTAGTAGAGTGCTGTCCTTGGTGGGGGACCCTGGACAGCACAGGACCTTCCCGCTTCTTGACTACCTTGGAGAACAGAGCTCCCACCTCCTTGCTCACCAGGGGTCTCACCCTGACCTTGTCTCTCACCTCCATGAAGCTGGTAATCCTCAGACCCAACTTCTGGTAGACCCTGAAAGGGGCTGAAGCTGGGCAGGATGATGAGAGCCAGGGAAAAAAGAAGGATCTGGAGGAAGCAAGAGGACATTTGGGTGGTGGGGTCAAAAGGGAGCAGAGGACAGAGTGAATGGAGGACAGTTGAGGTTATCAGGGATGGGAGGATAGATATGGCTGGGTATTGGGGATAACAGGATGGAATTGTGGTGAAAGATGGTAGAAATGGGGGGAGATGAGAAGTAGACTGATGGTACCAGGACACAAGTGCTGGTTTGGGCAGCTTTGTTGGAGGTTTTAGCAATGAGAGTCTGTAGCTGGCGGAGCTGAGCCACCAAGGAGCTGGAAAAGGAGGAATGAAGAGTTAATATCTTCTGGGAACCAAGGCCCAAGAATGGTGTCCTTGTGTGCTGCACCCTCCCAACATTCTTTCACTCACATGTTATGCTTCTCCAGCTCGTGGACTTTTTTCTGTAGTTCCTGGTTCTGTGCAGAACAGGCTGCCACCCTAGGGAGTGTGGAAAGGTAGAACAAGGCTTGGCAATCTGAGTCCCTTACTTTGCCCACCTTGGTGAGGAGGGGGCCCCAAATATGGCCCACCGGAATCCAGAAATGTGAGCATAAATATACCTGCTCTCTAGCCCATTGATGTACTCTTTCTTGCGCCGCCGACTGTCCTGAGCTGACTGCTTGTTACGGATTTTCCTCCTGACCTTCTTGAGGACCCTCTCCTCTGCCTGGAGGTGAAGGGTGTGTCAGTCCTTGGTCCTTAACCTCCCCCAACTCCCCAACTCTTCCCTTGGATCCTGGCTCCTCAGTGGCCATAGTTGGGGTCCCTGGGGTTGGGATTCCTTTTGGGGAATCCTGTTACCTTGGTGAGGGGCAGGTGAGAGGGTAGAGAAACTCCTTCTTGCCCCAGCAGATGCTTCTCCTCATCTGTTAGGAACAGAGTTTGACAGGGCAGCTGGAAGGGGAAAAAGGAAAAGGTGAGATGGGAGTGGGGTCATCCCATTTCCAGCACCCAAGCCACTCCCTCTGCATGCCTTCTGGAGAATGTTTCCTATTTGCACTGAGGAATAACCAACTTAGAGGTGACATGAGGGGCAGAGACTTTAATTCATACAGGCTTTGGATCAAGCCAAAGGGACCTTCTGAGGCTGAGAAGGGTAGAGAGGAGGTGGTTTTGTCATATTCTTTGCCCAGAGACTTAGGACCTTGGCACTCTGAGCATACTAGGGAGGGCCTGTTCTGGTCCACGTCTCCCCATGGGTAGGTTCCTGCTGGGCAATTGTTCTAGTGGAAACATTGTTGTAGTTGCTTCTCCTCCTTCACCCTATACCCGGTAACCAGCTGGATTCCCAGGTGGCTGGTCCCATTTCTGTGTGTTGACCCAAGGCTAAAACAGTGGCTTTGGCTGAGCATACAGTGCACACAAGGTCTAGGGTTCCTCCAAGCCCTGTTCCCATATTCCCTCACCCCACCTTCTCCTTAGCCGAGTCATTATTACCTTACCCCCCAAGAGCTCTCCCTTGTCCTTTCCTGCTCTTAAAGTTGTTCTTGCCCCTTGGTCTTCAAGCCCAATGCCACAAAATTGAGGCAAAGAGAGTTCATCATCAGATTCCCCCTCTCTCATCCCCTTTGCCCCCCTCTGTGTGATTATATACGTGTTTGTCAGGGAGCACTGGTTCTGGCTGACCCCAGGACTCACCAAGGTTGCAGGAGGCACTGGGGTTACAGTGTCTGCTCTGGGCAGGATGTGGGCATAAGCATCAAAGGGCAGCTCGCTGACCACACAGGCATCTGGCACCATAAATGGTGGGCTCCATTGATCTGAGTGAGACACAGATGGCTGGGAGAAAGGAGATTAGGGTACACCCTGATGGCAGCAGGGCCTGGGTAGAGGCACAGGTTGGGGAAACTCCCTTAACCCCATGGCTAGGGCTGGACTTGAAGGGCCATTGCCCCCTTCCCACAAAAAAACACTGACTTAGCTGGATGGAGATGAGTCCTAAGGTTGGCCCAGTTTCTCCCTGCATCCTCTCCAGGGCCCCTGCCTCATAGACAACCTCACAGAAGGCAGGCGAACTGGGTGCCCTTAGAGCAGAGGGACTGTATGGATGGCCAGGGTCCTCGGAGATGCCACTGTCACTGCCAGGAGATGCTGCTGAGCAGTACACCTCATTGGGATCAATGAAAACCTTCAGGAACTCTTCAGACTCACTCTCTTGAAGGCCCTACAGTAGGAGAGGGTATATATGTGTGCAGGGAAGAATTTTGGAAGTCCTACCTGACATCAGCCCTGGATCCTTCATTCTTCAATTTCAGTCTTTTCTGGGGCATGGAAATAGTTACAACTCATGTCTATTTTGGGGTCTCTGTTTTCAGAACTCTCTCCAAGTGGGGGCCGAAGCATTTTGGTGCTTCTTAAAACAGAGTTGTGTCTCAACCCCACTCCCACTCCTACTTATCACACTCACACAGCCATGGCCCCCACTGGACTCCCAGCCTTGCAGCCCCTGTTCCTGTAGGCTAGTCATCGGGACCTCTGGAGGGGGACAGTGGAGTCCTAGCTCCAGGAAGGATCCTGCTGAGAAGATATCTTCTGGGGGCTCCAGCAACGCGTCCAGCAGGTCAGGGGTTCCAAGATCCATGCTTCTGCGGGAAGGCATGTGGAACAGGGAGTTGCAGAAATGATGGCTGCCCCCTACCCCACAGCTTCTGGGTTCCTCTGCTCCCTCTTCCATTATTCCCCTTCCTCACCTGTCACTCGATAATCTCGCCTCCGGCCTTATCTCTCAGGATCAGACAAACAAGCCCCCTTGGGTAGTACCTGTTCCGAAGAGCCCAGCCCTGTCAAGCCAGCCTAGCCCGATGACCGCCCCAAACACTACACCTTTTCTTTCCTCCAGGATCTCATATCCTGGATCTGCCCAGCCAAACCCCGCCCCCAGCCTTAAACCAAGAAAGTGGGTTGCACCTTTCCAGGAGCCACGATAGGGGCGCTGTATCTGGCATTAAGAGACCGAGCACCCTCAAACCTAATTTAAGGAAAACAGACGCTCCCTTTTTGCCTCACTTTCTCCTAGCGATAGTAAATCTTCCTAAGGGTTTGGTGTCTCTTCAGGGGAGAGTAGAGATGGCTGCGACTGGAGCGTAGAATGCTTGAGTGCCAGTTCTCCCGCCATCGCTTTTAGAAGGGGAAGACCACGCCAGGTTGTTAGCAAAGGCGGAAAGATTAAGAGGCTTGCCCAAGACCCACGGGGGCATCCCCTCCCCCATCGCGGGGCGCTCTTCCCACAGCTGAGTCCTGATTGGAAGCCAAAGATTTAGGGTTTTGAGGGGCAGGACATTGAGCCAATGAATGGCATTTTCCTCTCAAGGCCAGCTCCTCTGTAACTGGTTAGAATACGCTGTCGGAGGGGAGTCAGGCCAATGGGGCAGCAGTACTTACTTGTCAGGCGGGGATTGGGTTCCGCGGACCAGCGGGAGGAGGAAGAGCCGGAAGATAAATTGTGGGGAAGTTGGAGAAAAGTTCCGAGAACGTGGGTAGGAGCGGCCTGGTTTCGCTTGCCACGTGATTCCAAAGCCCAGGTTATTACCTAGGCGGGGAGTAGATAACCTGTTGACCCAAGTTCAGCGACAGGGCCTTGACTCAGCTGGTGGGAAGTCGCGCAATCGCTGGGTTCCAAGTTCGTAATCGTAGCGTTATGCTATTCAAGAACAGCGATTATACATACCCACTCACTGGACTCTGTTTACTCACGGAGTGAGATGGGTCTGGAAAACTGCAAGTTAAAAAACGTTTTGCGTTTGGTTTGGGAATTTGTTTTATTGTTTGTGTAAAATTACCGGCAACATGTATGTCCGCATTTGTATTGTTTACAAAACATTTTCGTAAATTGTTCCCTCATTCACATCCACAACGACTCTGAGGCACATAGGACAGGTAATATTTTGCTAATTTTTACCAATGAGGAGGCAGAAATCCACTACTAGAAAGTAGTAATACCAATATTCAGGATTTTTTCACTTGGTCTAGTGTCTGATGGTCCAGGAATTCACTTCAAATAAACTATAATAATGGGCCTATCTGATATTGATATGATTTTTGTTTGCCTGCCTTCCCAGTAGTACTTCTGATAAAGGGTAGCGGGGTGAGTAAAGCGGGAGTGTTTGGGGTGTACATCCAGAATTCAAACTGGTATTAATTCTCCTTGTGAAGATTTGAATGGGCTAAGGGTAAAGACAACAACAGGATCTAGTATTTATTGAGCAACGTTTATATATTAGGCATTTTCATGTTACTCTTAACTCTCATAGCAACTCACAGCTGACAGAGAGAAGTTAAGTAACTTTCTCAAAGTTACTCTGTAGGTGGCCGAACCAAGATTTGGATGCCTGAGCCCATGTTCTTCACACTAGACTAAGCTGACTTGCTGAGTTTTCTCAAATTTCCCAAATCTGTCTTTCCTGCTTGTCTCTCTGCATCCTGCTCCAGTCATGAAGAGTCAAACAGGCTTCCTAGATTGATGCAGAGCTCTAAAGATAGCAGAGCTGTTTTTGTTTAGATCTTTCATAGAGCAAGAAAGGTGGTTGAATGCATTTCAAAGGGCTTCCTGTGGGCTGCATGTGCGGAGATGATAAATGGAAAATATAATCATATGCTATTAATGCTAGAACTGGAAGGAAACTCTGCCATCATCTGCTAGTTTAACTTCCCTCTTTCCCCTGATTTATCAAGCTCTGGAGAGGGAAAATGACTTGCCTAAAATCATACATCAAGTTAAGGTAAAGTTCAAGAGATCTACTGTAAAACATGGTGAATATAGTTAACAACAATGTATTGTATACTTGAAAATAGCTGAGAGTATATTTTAAGTGTTCTCACCACAAAAAAGTATGTGAGATTATACATGTATAATTTAAGGTAGAGCTGGGCCTAGAATCCAGGTGTCCTGACTCCCAGTCATGATTCCTTGTTAATGTTAATAATTACCAATAATCTCGAAAGCATAATTTGCCACAGACAAACCACAGTATGCACAATATTCCCTTAAATAATCTGGAATTACCTCTAACAGTAATTTTTATTTATTTGGGCAGCTGGCTGGTGCAGGGATCCGAACCCTTGACCTTGGTATTATAACACCATACTCTAACGAACTGAGCTAAATGGCCAACCCTAATTTCTATTTTTTTCATTAAGAGCTTGGAACAGCAATAATTATTAGTAAATGATGGGACACCAATACCCCATTTCACTTAAACCCTCATCTTAAAATCCTATAGGTTCCTTTCTCCTAGACCCCCTCCTTCAAGAAGTCCTCACATTCCCCCTTTACTTAAAGTAGTTGCTGGCCTCCATTTCTAGATTCTTATTAGAGGCATCATTCTATCTCTTCTTTAGGACTGAGCACCCTTTTGTATTTTCCTCTTTTGTACCCTGCTGTTTCATTAGGCTACAAGAGGATTGTGGGTTAAGATGATCCAGGCTGAGGAAACAGTGGAAAATACAAGGGATCTTCAAAAAGTTTATAGGGCTGGCTGGTTAGCTCAGTTGGTTAGAGCACAACCTTGTAATACCAAGGTCACAGGCTCAGATCCCCGAACCAGCCAGCTGACAAAAAAAAAAAAAAAAAAAAAAAAGTTTGGGGAAAGATTTGCATTATGTTTTAATTCTATTTTTCCACGAACTTTTGAAGTACCCTAGTACTGTACCTTGGTGCATTCAAGGAACTGAAAACGGAAAGGAGGCCAGAAGGGATGGAGGGAGAAGAGTTGGAGAGTGCCAGATGAGGTTGGAGGGAATCCTGGCCAGTTACCCAGAGCCATGGTAAGGACGGTAAGTTGGAGTGTGCTGAGAAGCTCTCCACTGGGTGGGGTTTCAGCAACCCCTGAGCTGAGCCCCACCACACCTCTACCCAGTTGGAGAAGACCGCCAGAGGCTGCACAGAAGTCAGCTCGGGCCACTGGTAGTCAAGGAGGGATGATCCTCAAGACATGCCCTCTCTTTGGTTTTCCCTCTTTTCAATTCTGCCTTGTCTTTTTCTTTCCTGTGGGTACTGGCGACGGAAGTCAGGCGAGGAAATTCGTCCTAGGAAGGGAATGCTTTCTTTTTGGCGCCATGGCACACTGATGAAGTCTTAATTAGTGTCTTCTAAAAGATAAAATGAGACTTTGGCCCAGGCCAGGCAGATATCCTCAGAGATGTGGGGCCGAAGACTTAGGAATGCGGGGCAAGGTTTGGGCGCCAGCCATGCCTGCGGGGGTTCTAGCTCCCTTCTTAAAAAATCTCCACATGACCAAAGCCTTCCTTGACCGGCCAGCTCCGGCCCCTCAGACCTGCACAGTGGCGCCTCAGGCCCGCAGAACCTGGACCCTCTCCCTAGCCCCCTCCCTTGCTCTCGCTCCCGCTCCCCCACCCTCGTCTGCTCCCGGCCTGTGATTGCTTCTAACTCACGTCACTAGCAGTCGATCCCCGCCCACTCGGCGCTGTCATTGGCCCCAGGGCGCGGGTACGCAGCAGCTGCGGGAGGAGGGGGGAGCGATAGGAGGGGGCGGGAATTCCCGACTAGAGGCCGGAACCCAGCCGATACCATGTAGTGAGACCCTCGCGAGGTGAGTGCGGGCTCTCGGGGAGCGGGATTTAGGGCCGCCCAGGCCTCCCGGGGCCTAGGGGCTGGAGTCCCACCTCTCACATTCTTCATCTGCTTCCCGCAACGCTGGCGGCCTCGGACTCCGCCTCACGGAGCCTGGACTTCCAGACACCGCACTCAGTGTCGTCTCAGCATGTCCCGGGACCCCAGACCCCTAAGGCCTCTCTACATTTGGCCGTCTACCGGACGTCCCAGCCTGTGGCTTGAAGAGCTCACTCTGCTTTCCGGGGAGATGGCATTGGGAAAAGGGGATCCGGAGAGTGATCCAGCAACCAAGATCGCCCTTTTCTGGTGGTTCACAAAACCACCCGTGACTTCTCCCCACAGGCCTGAGCTCCCTTTGCTTCATTTACTCCTTCCTGGAGTGGGAAGTCTGGCTTCTACTTTCCTTAGGGGACCCCGGGTCCAGGTCCTATTTGGAGGCAGCCCCTAGTTTTCTTGGGGGCCCCAGATGAAAGGGTAATGAGATATCCACACAGTCCTCATGCCTCAGTTTCCCCCTTGCTGGCTCCCTGAATAAGTCACTTGGGAGAGATAAAGTCTGAGGAGAAAGAGGAGTGTTCCTGGTACAGGAGTGGATGAGTCACCCTGGATTGGGGAAGATCAGAAAGTGATTGGGGTGAAGGAGCTAAATGCTGCTGACAAAGCTTCCCCTTTCCTTGGCCCCATCTTTCCTTGCATGACCATTCCCCACCCACTCTAGTCTATCTTCCTAGGTCTGAGAGTTATTGGGGCTGCCGTAACCACCATGGGGCCCTGGGGAGAGCCAGAGCTCCTGGTGTGGCGCCCAGAAGCGGTAGTTTCGGAGTCCCCAGTGCCTGTGGGGCTGGAGGTGAAGTTGGGGGCCCTGGTGCTGCTGCTGGTGTTCACCCTCCTCTGCAGTCTGGTGCCCATCTGTGTGCTGCGCCGGCCTGGAGCTAACCATGAATCTTCTGGTAAGCCTCTCCTTTTCCCCATTGCTATGGATGCTTGGGGCAGGGAATACTCTGGGGCTGGCCTAAGGAGGAGGGGAAGGCAAGAATAGCCATTTCTTTCTTCCTTTTTGGTGGCTGGTGCGTACAGGGATGGAACCCTGGACCTAAGAGTAGCCATTTCTTGGGTTAGGGTAGTGGGGCCTGGCAGGGGTTCACTTGCTCATTCCCCTCTGTACTTCACTCCTGCCCAGCTTCCCGCCGGAAAGCCTTGAGCCTAGTAAGCTGCTTTGCAGGGGGTGTCTTTTTGGCCACCTGTCTCCTGGACCTGCTGCCGGACTACCTGGCTGCCATAGATGAGGCTCTGGCAGCCCTGCACGTGACGGTGAGCACTGGCCCGCGGCATGTGGCCTTGTGTGCGGGGTGTGTCCAATTACATACCTCTAAGAGAGATGGTTTGTAATAGATCTGTTCATTTGTCACTACATGACTGTGTGGAAGGCTCTTGGCATATGATCCTGTGAACTGTTACTTTTGGTTATAATGCATAACCCTTTTGGTGTGTCCCCCCCCATCCCCACTCAGTCCCTGTGTGTCCCCTATGTACCCTTTTAGACAGTGTGAGGAGCCTTATTATCAGGTGTGTGACCTACTCTGTGGGTTTCTCAGTTCCAGTTGCCAGGAAGTTAACAGTGCTCCAAGAATCATCTTCACTCTCTCTCCACTTTCCTGAAGGGCTGAAGATGGCAGTTCCTGCAGGCTTGGGAAGGGTAGGAGGCAATTCCCAGGGGCTTGGTGATCCTGACAAAAAAAGGCTTTTGCCTAAGGAAGTGGGATGTGGGGAATGATCAAGTCTAAGGCATAGGAAAGGCTCATTATAGGAAAAACTGAGATAGTTGGGTTGTGGTGCAGGGAAGACATCCTGTGCTCTTTTCTCTCTTTATTCCTGAAGACTGAGGAAGTAACATTGGACGTAACCCTTTGTGTGTCTGTGACTGAGTGACATATGTCTTTGTGTGAGTGTGTATAAGCCTGAATGTCCCTGTGACAGTATGTGGCTGTGTGAGCATTTGAAGAAGTGGGCCAATGTATGATGCTTTGTTTGTATGCTTACCCTACATGTGACACTTTGTGTACGTCTACATCAGTAACTCTCAACTAGGGGTGGTTTTGTCCCCCAGGAAACATTTGGTAACGTCTAGAGACATTTTTGGTTTTCACAACTGGGGGTAGTGGTGTGGGGAGCATTGTGCTTGCTACTGGCATCTGATGGGTAGAGATCAAAGATGCTGCAACCTATAGTGCATACGACAGCTCCCAAGACAAAGAATTATCTGGCCCAAAATGTTAATAGCGCCAAAATTGAGAAACTTGGTCTACATGTAACACTGTGAATGACATAATCTGTGTGATTGTGTATCATTCTGTGTCTGTGTCACCAAGTAACTCTATCTTTGTGTGACTGAGAGTGGCCCTGAATTTGTGTGGGACCCCTAGTCTGTATAACTGAGTGTCCAGGAGACTCTGCATCTGCCTTCTCCCCATTCTTGGCCTGTCTCTTGAACTCCTTGCTGCCCCCTCTTCCCACAGCTCCAGTTCCCCCTGCAAGAATTCATCCTGGCCATGGGCTTCTTCCTAGTCCTGGTGATGGAGCAGATCACACTGGCTTACAAGGAGCAATCAGTGCTACCACCTCGAGAGGAGACAAGGGCTCTGCTGGGAACAGTGAATGGTGGGCCGCAGCATTGGCATGACAGGCCAGGGGTCCCACAGGCAATTGGAGCCCCAGCAGCTCCCTCGGCCCTGCGTGCCTGTGTACTGGTCTTCTCCTTGGCCCTACACTCAGTGTTTGAGGGGCTGGCAGTGGGGCTGCAGCGAGACCGGGCTCGGGCCATGGAGCTGTGCCTGGCTTTGCTGCTCCACAAGGGTATCCTGGCTGTCAGCCTGTCCCTGAGGCTGCTGCAGAGCCATCTGCGGGCGCAGGTGGTGGCTGGCTGTGGGATCCTCTTCTCATGCATGACACCTCTGGGCATTGGTCTTGGAGCAGCTCTGGCAGAGTCAGCTGGGCCTCTGCACCAGCTGGCCCAGTCTGTGCTGGAGGGCATGGCAGCTGGCACCTTCCTCTATATCACCTTCCTGGAAATCCTGCCCCATGAGTTGGCCACTTCAGAGCAGAGGATCCTCAAGGTTATTCTGCTTCTAGCAGGCTTTGCCCTGCTCACTGGCCTGCTCTTCATCCAAATTTAGGGGGTTTCAAGAGAGGGGCAGGGGAGATTGACTATCAGGTGCTCCTGCCCTTCCTCCCCTCCGCCAAAGTGTGGGGAACAAGAAGTGTGGGGAAGGGAGGTACTGAGGACCAAAGAGTTCTCTGGGAGATAGGGATGGAGCCTTTGGGACTATCCGACCAATGAGAGAGGCAAGAGCTTGGCCCCAGGCCCAAGGAACAAGAGATGGTCAAGTCACTAGAGACTTGATCAGGGGACATTAGGATTGTGGAAGACACTGACTGCTAGAAGCAGAGGTCAGACACCACACATAGGGACAAGTTAACACTGGGGACGCTGGAGGTGGGCACCCAGCTGCTGTGGGATAAAGGTATGGAGAGGGCATAAGTCCAGAGTCCGTGTCCTGTTGATTCTAGCCCATTTCCATACTCTTCCACATGGAATGGACCCCTCCTACTTTTCTTAGCTCCTATTTTCTTATCTTCCTCTTCCTTTCTCCCAGGATACTGGTGCCAAATGGTCTCTCCCTGCCAGTTTTGGTAACTTCTCTGGCCCCTCCAGCCCTGCTCACTCTATTTTTAAAGTGCCAAACAAATCCCCTCTCTCTTTCTCAAAAAGCACAGTGATCTGGCACTGAGCCCTGCCCAGCACCTCAGTGGAGGGGGCCTGCTTGCTCTTTATTTTGATCCCAGATCCTGGGGTGGGGCAGAAATGTTTGCTGGGCTGGGGTGGGGGGAGGATTGGAGACCTGCGGCCACCCACCGCAGCTGCACCCTAGGAATACAGAACATGGACATGGTGCCCCATGCCCAGATGATAAACACTGAGCTGCCAAACCTTTTTTTATATATATACCCGAGGAGCCCGAGGGGGAATGGGAATACCCACCTCCAGGGTTATTTTGGGGAAGGGAAGGCTGTGCATAGGGCCATATTCTCTACAATCTATTTTACTAACTGACCTGTTTTGGGACGTGTTACCCAAATAAAAGATGTTTCTGTACATCTGTACAGTATCTGATTCATTTGTCTTGGGAAAGGGGTGGGCATGTGGCCAGCCTAGAGGGCCTGAGTCCCAGATGCTTACAGTTGTTTTAAGATCCTTGGTCTCACTGTTTTCACTCAGGCCCCAGTCGTCCCCTTCCCTTCCTCCTTTGTCTCTTCCTTCTTCCCTCCCAGTCTCCCTTCCCTTCTCTTCCTTTTTCTTCCCTTCCCTCCCTCTCTTTCATTCCCTCTCCCCTTCCAGTTCGCAGGTTCGGGACTAATTTAGAACTACTCTTCCCAGCCTGCCCCGCGCAGGGAGTAGCCGAGAGGATGGAACCAAATCTCCAGTTCCCCGAGTTAACGGGGCTGCTGGGAGGTGGAGTCCATTTCCTTTCCGTGCTGCATGACTAGGGGTGTGACGTTGTCACGTAAACAAACTACAATTCCCGGCGGCTCCCACGGGCCACAGGTCAGGACTAGGCTGGGGCCGGGTTCGCGGTGCTTGCTGAGGCTGCGGGCGGCTGCTACGGCTCCGGGCCGGAGCCCGCGGCGGAGGCCGTGGCTTGTCCTGGGAGGGTGGCGGGGAGGGCCGGGGGAGGAAGATGGCGACGTCCGGGGCGAACGGGCCCGGTTCGGCCACGGCTTCAGCTTCCAATCCGCGCAAGTTTAGTGAGAAGATGGCGACGTCCGGGGCGAACGGGCCCGGTTCGGCCACGGCTTCAGCTTCCAATCCGCGCAAGTTTAGTGAGAAGATGGCGACGTCCGGGGCGAACGGGCCCGGTTCGGCCACGGCTTCAGCTTCCAATCCGCGCAAGTTTAGTGAGAAGATGGCGACGTCCGGGGCGAACGGGCCCGGTTCGGCCACGGCTTCAGCTTCCAATCCGCGCAAGTTTAGTGAGAAGATGGCGACGTCCGGGGCGAACGGGCCCGGTTCGGCCACGGCTTCAGCTTCCAATCCGCGCAAGTTTAGTGAGAAGATCGCGCTACAGAAGCAGCGTCAGGCCGAGGAGACGGCGGCCTTCGAGGAGATGATGATGGACATCGGCTCCACCCGGGTAAGGGCCCGCGCCGGGAGCGGGAGCGGGAGCGGAGTACTCACGGAGCGGAGAGCGGAGAGGCGGGGCGGGGGCGGGAGCCGCGGCGAAGGAGGCGGAACGGAGCAGGGGCAGCGGGCGCCGCCGTCTGGGAGGCGCGGGTTGAGGGCCTAGGGGCAGGAAGACGGGTTTTTCGGGGCTGGAGGGGAGGGGGGGAGCTACTGCGGGCCGAGTACGGGAGGCGGGAGTGAGCGGAGAGGGGAGGTTGTCCCCTAAAGTTCGGCGGAGGTAGGAGGTGGGTGGTCCTTGTGCATCCCTGAAGGAGTCGCCCGAGGGACTCGCCTGAAGCATCCCCGATGTTGGGTTATGGATTGGGGGTATGGTCTGTTTGTCCCTAATCTGGCTTCTCCGAGTTTGTGATCTCCTTCAAACTGGTCCTTCTGCCCAGTTGTTTCATTCTTGGCGCTTTGGTATCTCCTGGAAAAGGCCTTCAGTGGTTTGAACCAACACTGCTTAGTATGGTGGGGCAGGAAGTTCCCTCCTGCGTCCCGTCCCTTTGCTTCCTTTTTCAAGTATTTCTTGTGGTTTCCTGACGTGAATGAAGGTGAGGTTCATTGCTCACAGAATGGTGCTTGGTGTTTTGACCTAGTCGCCTTGGAGGAGAGGTAAAGCTTTGAATCTCAAAACTGGGCAAGCGATCGGCTATTGGTTGTGCGGAGCACGATGGTTTATTGAGCCTTCTAGGGAGAAGGCTGCTTTGTGCGTCAGTTTATGGGGTGCCTTGGAGGGTCCTCTATATGTTGAAAATATTCGTTACTAGGAAGTTCTAGAAAGAACTTTCAGGTCTCTGCCAGGTTGCCTCTGAAGCCCCTTTGGCCTTGGTATCTTGCTTCCCCGGTCTGGATGTCAGAAGGAGCGAGGGGTTGGAGTTTGCCCAGATAATATGCAGTCCTAATTTAGGGACACATTATTCTTAAAACAGCAGGTGAGAATATTACAGTGATCTTTCATGGCAGAGAACTAGAAGGAATTTAAGGGGAGATGGTGAAACAGAAAATACCACATTTCAGGCCGACCTGTGGCTCACTTGGGAGAGTGTGGTACTGATAACACCAAGGCCATGAGTTCGGATCCCTATATAGGGATGGCCGGTTAGCTCACTTGGGAGAGCTTGGTGCTGACACTACCAAGTCTAGGGTTAAGATTCCCTTCTTTAAAAAAAAACAACCCCCCTCGCCCCCATTTCAAGGCTCTTTCTGTTGGTCTGACTGTAATTGCATCTATCTATGACTGTGATTCTGACTGGTTGTATTTTTGTGTGTATCTTTGGTGCTGACACTACCAAGTCTAGGGTTAAGATTCCCTTCTTTAAAAAAAAACAACCCCCCTCGCCCCCATTTCAAGGCTCTTTCTGTTGGTCTGACTGTAATTGCATCTATCTATGACTGTGATTCTGACTGGTTGTATTTTTGTGTGTATCTCCCTTGATCTGTTAGTCTTTTTGTGTTTTTTTCCCTTTTGAGTCTCTAGGGACCATGTGCCCTAGTTTGTGGAATCAGTACAGAGAAAGTTAGGTGAGGAGGCAAATCTGGTTTGTCTGTGTATGCACGTGCATAATCCACTCTAACCACCATTAGGATTAGTATCTAACTGTTGATTGCTTCCCTTAGGAGCTTTTGGTCATGATGGGGACAAAGACAAGAAGATGGGAGAGAGGCTAATCTCCAGCTGATAGCTTGAGGCCCTGCCCTCTGGATTGATTCTAGCAGAGGCATTGTGATATCTTAGGGCTTGTCTGTGCAAAGAAAGGCTGTGAGAAACTCAAAGCTGAGGTATCTATGTGGAGCCTTAGTCTATCAAAAGGTCTCTTCAACCCACTTTGTCCCTTCTGGTTAACTTCTCTGTTACACAGAAAAGTCTAGTGGGCATACATGGTCAGAGCCTAGGGACCCAAGAGTCTAGGGCTAGAGATAAGAGACCTGTAGCTCAGCCTGTTATCTGACCAGCTGTGAGAGTTCATTTGAGGCAGATATGGCCATGGGGACCTATATTGCTGAGAGACTGGGGTTGCTGTATATATTAATAGCTGTTTGGAAGTGACCCAGAGGTCAGCAGAGTGCCCACAGAATTCACTGGTCTGACCTCCTAGAACTGATAGTCAGTTCTGATGTTGGCTTATATATAACAGTGTGACCCTGGAAGTTCTTAGAACTTACCCCTCTCAGCCGCCTTCCTCCCCATGGCCTTGCCCTGGGTCTGTTTATTTGGCTGGTGGCACTGGCTGAGTCTCAGAAGTAGATGCTTACCTCTCACAGATGGATATGAGATCTGTAGACAGATTAAACTGCCAGGCTGAGGGTTGTGGTGTCTCACCTTTGTGCCAGACATATCTCCCCAAAGTGGGGATGAGGCCAGGGATATGGCTCTGGCCCAGGCTGGAGTAAGCTACTGCTTCCTCTCCCACCTTCATTCTTCAGGCTCTCCTGCCCATTCAGGGGCCTTCAGATTCAGTGGAAGAATGCCCCTTTTTTTGGCACTAGGAGAGGCATCATTCCTTGGATGTTCTATCTAGTTTGGGAGGTGCAGGTTCTGTGTAGCCTTCCTGAGGCTGGGCAAGTGGCAGAGCCCAGAAGCCTGTGCTCTCCAGAGTGGGAAGGAAAGAGGCTGGCAGTAAGGGCTCTATGACATCCACCCGTGGCCTTCCCCTTATCTTCTAATTAGTCCTGGATGCATCTGGAAAGGAAAGCAGAGGTGCTTAATAGTCACCCCACTCTGTGACTAGCCTGGGGGCTACTGGAAGCGCTTCAGGGACTCTGCTTAGACTGATACCAATTGAGACAGGCCCTGCACAGAGTGTCAGGCCCTGTCTGGCGGGGTGATGTCAGGTAGTAGTGATATCACTGATGAGGGTAGCCTGCAGAAGGGCTAGAGTGATTGTTTGCACAAGGTCTCAGTGGGCCTTTCCCCTAGCACTGACTCAGGCTTTTTTTTCTGGCAGATTTCTTAAGAGCAGCAGCATATCCTGGTGACAGGGATGGCAAGGATGGCCAAAAGGGAACAGTGCTCAAGACCCTCTCTGACACTCACATTTGTCTCCCCATATCTCAGTTACAGGCCCAAAAACTGCGACTGGCATACACAAGGAGCTCTCATTATGGTGGTTCTCTGCCCAATGTTAACCAGATTGGCTGTGGCCTGGCGGAGTTCCAGGTGAGTGTACACCAGTCAGGGAGGAGCAGAGGCTCTTAGGCCACTTCTCCTGCTGACTCTCCTGTCCCTTTTGGCAGAGCCCCCTCCACTCACCTTTGGATTCATCTCGAAGCACTCGGCACCACGGGCTGGTGGAACGGGTGCAGCGAGACCCCCGCAGAATGGTGTCCCCACTTCGCCGATACCCCCGCCACATATCCTTCACAGAGGGTTTCAGGGGTCTGGAGGTCCATAGTATGGGGTTCCTTAGGGACTTATGATAGGAAAGTACTTTAAGTGTTGTCCAGTCCCATCCTTCTCCAGGAGCTCTCCTTTACCCAGCCTCCCTGAAAAGTAACCACAGCCAATATGTCAGCACAGGCTCCTGTGACAGGGAGTAGTTGCTGCTAAGGCTCTGCCCTCCATCTCTGGCTGCCCCTGACTGTCTTTACTTCAGCTTGCTCTTTGCTGCCAGAGGCAGGGCTCCCTGATATGTCTCCTGCTGAAGGAAGTTTGGTCCCTCCTCCCCACTTTTATATTATTAGCTTTCAGTCTCAGAGACCTATAGACCTGTCTTCTCCAGATATTCTCCTATATTTTTCTAGCTTCCAAGGTCTGATTCCCTTCTTCTCTTCCATTCTTTCAACCTGTTGTTGCTCCTTGTGGAGTAGGAAAAAGGTATGTGTTTCTTGAAACAACTTATCTGCTGTCTCCACTATTTTTTTTTTGTAAAAGATGACCGGTAAGGGGATCTTAACCCTTGACTTGGTGTTGTCAGCACCGCGCTCTCCCAAGTGAGC